GCTTGTTTCTTCACAATACCTGCAGAACTTCTGATGATTCGGCTGGCGGCTGGCGTAGAACATGGGCGGGTTAACTATTAGTGACTGTAACGTCACAGTCGGTGTTATGTTCTGATTCGGCTGTTTTTCAGTGGTCTTTTGCATGCACGAGATTTACACAAGAAGGAGGAAACAATGGTGTTTGAGGCTCATGGCATTTCATTAACATGTACAGAACTGTTATTATTCAACTATGCCAAGGTTCTATGTTCTACATTCTATGGCACCTTTAAATAAAGAGATGCTCAAACGTCCCATAAACCCAGAGGGCAAACACGATGGAAACACATTCTGCTCGTGTAAAACTGAAGAACCCACCTGAGTATCAGTCAGATGCAGGACCGTCTTCTTGTAGGAAATTATGTCAAAGTCAGTGGCTTTCCAGACGGCGTGACCGAGCAGATCGCCCACCTTCTTCTTCTTTGTAATGACGATCAGATACATGCCTGAGAAAAAGCCAGAGGCGTTAAACGGTGAAACAGCTTCATTCAGACTTCAGCTCATCCTGAGAAATCAAACCTGCCACCAGCCGAATGGTTCCCATGATGCCACACATCGGACGCGTCACTGCTGACGGAGGGATGTCCTTCCTCACTGAAAGAGAACAGAAGACACTATGCTTACTGGTTAGAATACATAATTATAATTGTATTCTAATATTAACAACATTATTATTTGAAATATATTATACTATATATGTATTGTTTAAATGCTAGACCTTGATATTTATTCTTATTATATAATAGGAAAATATTATCTTTTTATTTTAGGTAACACTTTATAATAACTTTCAATAATAAATCATTAACAAACATTCTGTAATGCTTAACGGATCGTTAGTTAACTCTTTCCCCGCCATTGACGAGTTATCTCGTCTTTTAGAGGACAACGCCAAAGACGAGTTTTTACGGCTTTTCGTGTTTTCACTGTTATACACTCGGGGGCGCTAGTACACATCTTCTGGGTAACATCACAGTGGAGTCAGCGGTCTTAACCGTGGCTTGTGTACTGCAAACACATACCAGCTTCATCACTGTGTCTGTCACGACTCTGTTCCCCTTTGGGCTCTGTCTTTACATTTATTTTGAAAGATGAAACTGGCGATTATGGTAAGGGGCGTTACATTTCCGACGAGTGCTTGCGGTGTTCGGCCAATCACAATGCACTGGGTCAGCTGGCCAATCAGAGCAGACTGCGCTTGTCGGAAGGAGGGACTTTGTAGAAAACGAAGCGTTTGAGAGAGGCGGGGCATAGAGGACCTACAATAATGTACAGTACTTGAAAAATAATGTGTTTTTTGAACATTAAAGCATGTCAACATATTCTGTTACACCAAATAATGATCTTTAAAAAAGCATCATATGACCCCTTTAACATGAATAGTTTGTGAAGTGCTTAAAATGAATAATTAAGCTACATTTTCACAACATTTGTAAATATAAAAATGAGCATTAGCTAATATGTGAACTGACGTTTAATGACACTTGTAAGCATTCAACAGTACAGTAACAAACACATTTGTAATCATTGCGTAATTTCTATTAAAATCATTTTTTTAAACGCATTGAAAGTTTAATGACATTTGTAACCATTAACTAATGACCCGTTACGCATTACATAATGTTTGTGAATGATTTATTAATGACGCTTTTAATCACTGTAAACCATCTGTCAAAATCATTTGAAGATTAAGATTAAAAAATGCATGATCATATGAATTGAAAGTTTAATGACATTTGTAAGCATTTCAATTTACATTAAATAATGATCTGTTAATCCTTTGGTAATGTTTAATAACTTCATTAGTTAACATTAACAAGCACATTATCTCATATTTCTAGATTTGTGAATATATATTAAGTAATGATTAGTTAAACATTTTGTGAATGATTTATGAATTAAAGTTATTATAAAGTGTTACCTTATTTTATTATACAACACTATAAATTATATAATGATTAATAATAATATAATTTAATGCTATTATTCATTTTATATAATATTTTCAAAATGTATTATATTATACCAAACTTTTATTGGTTATTGTTAGATATTTAACTTTGAATGTAACTGTGTATAATTATTTATACATAGATATTTAGACACTGATATTTATTCCTATTATTTTATAAAAAATATAATGATTTTTATTATAATATTACACTATAAACGAAATAATAATTTACATTATTATTATTTAACATAACATTTACAAATATTATATTGTATTAATATTATATTGGCTATTTATAGTTAAAATGTTAGGCACTGATATTAATATAATTTATTATATATATATATATAATTTTTAATATATTATACTATGCTATAAATTAAATAATAATGTTATTACTAATAATAATAATAACAACAACAATAACATTAAATTTTATTATATTATACTAAATATCTATTGGTTAATGTTAGATATTTAACGGTATTATTAATTTAAATGTATTATTCTGGTAATTTATTGTTTAAATGTTAGACATTTATATTTATTGGTATTATTTTAAAATATAATATCATTTTTATTACATTACGCTATAATATTATATTATACTACACTACAATTAATATTAATTTGAAATAATTATTGTTAAAAAATAATTGATCATATATAAAAATTAAAAAAATTTATTATGCTGAACACTGAACGTGTAATTATTTTAAATGTATAATACTGGATATCTATTGTTTAAATGTTAGATATGGGTATTTATTGTTATATTATAGGAAAACATATCATTTTTATTATAATATTATAGTACAGTGGTTCTCAACTGGTTTTACCATGTGACCCACTTTTATATATATACACATATATACAAAAAACAAAGCAAATTTATTTCACAAAAATTAAGACTGTTAAGAATATGATTAATACTGAATAAACAGCCTATAATGTAAGCATCTCCAAACTAGTTTTTGTTAATACAATTAACAACGTGTCAAAATGACACAAAGTGAAAATAACATGGTGTTTATGGCTTATGGAAACAACAGTTACCATGCTGAATACACAATACTAACACGAACTGTTAATGAGACGTGGAAACTGCTATTGAATAGATTTAGAATTACGTTATTTGCTGCTGACGTCGATTCTTTGGCGCGACCCACCAACACTGGTATAGTACACTATACTATAATATTACATTATATACTATAATTATGATTATTAATAATAACATCAACTTAAAATGATTATTATTATAATCATCATCATCATTATTATTATTGTTATTAATAACATCGCATACTATTAAAATTTTAAAAAAGTATTACACTGAATATTTTTAGGTTAATGTTAGATATTAAACTATGATGGAAAGTATTTTACAATTTTCAAATATGACTTTCATTTGCATCCTAATTTGAGTTGAACATTCCGTAGATATTTAACCTCAGAAGTAGTGCTGGGCGGTATGACCAAAAATTAATATGACGGTATTTTTCAAAACTATTCCGGTTTCACGGTACATGACGGTATTTATTTTTCATGCATGAGCGGGTGTTAACCATATTTTCTCCTGATTGAGAGGAAATACTGCAGTATATTGACTTAGAATGACTTATTTTACTGTCATGATGAGTGAATATTGTCAAAAAATACCACACTAAATAGAGACTAAACACGACTGCTTTTAATACATGTTAACCAGGAGTCACTCTCATTTATAATCACAGCATCGTCTGATAAAATCAGCATGCATCTACACTAAAGAGCAGCTATGCGGTTGTTTTGGCTATATTACTTTTTTGTCTCGTGCAGCGCACTGTCTGCGTCTGAGTAACAAACTAAAAACAACAACAAACTAAAAAGTGCATGTGATATTAACAGACGAACTACGCTCATATTTATAATAATTCCAAACACTCAGTAAGCGACAGGTGCTAGGAAACGCTGTTTTGTACTCATTTATTGAGGAGTCGGCTGCGGTGCTTCTCTGCCGCTCACTGCACAGAACA